AATATTATAATTAATTTTGGAGCAGAAATCCCCAGAAATCCCTACATTAATTTTTCATCCCGGAGGTCGCCTGTTGACATCGTACCGGCCCCGGTAACGGCCCCTATACGATGTCAACAAGCAATTACTGGGATAAAAGAAGAGTGTAGGGAAGCGAAAGCGAGGAAAAAGAGCGATAAAGAAAACAGGAGGAGAAGGGAATTCCAAGTTACCTCGGGACATAATAATATATTTACAGGGTGTCCCAGACGCTGGACATCCATCTTGCTGGAAAAACATGTTTAGGCGCGGGAGTGACGAACCGTGGGGTCCTTATCTCTGTTGACACACATTCACACACACAAACACTCAAACACACAAAGAGGTGTAAATCCGACCGTGCAACCTCCACCTTGGGTAATGCTAATGCCGGCGGTACCGTAACTTTCAACCCTCATAACTCGAAAAGTACTGATTAAAAAAACGTTTCATTGTAGCGTTTTGGAAAGCTCTCTAGGTAAGCTACAAGAATATGCATTGAAAAATGGGAGTTTCCATTTAAGAAATTAAAGATGACCTTCACGTGATCTTCAAACCACTATCCAAGGTCAAACCAATGACACCATCTTATGTGCCCCTCGAAGTTACAAAACTTTTATCTGAAATATTTTTCTTTAAAATGTCGCGTTTACGAAAAAATCAGGTGAGACGGGTGGTCTGGGACACCCTGTATATATATATATGTATATAATTATTAAGGAATAGTATGAAAGATAACTGAAAGATTTATAAAAAAAGTTTTCCAAGTTATTAAAAGTACAATAATTCAGAATATAATATATATATTATGTACATGAAATGATTGGCTGCAATTGCCAGAAAAAATTTTGTAATCACTTTGCGCTGTACTGCTAACAGCATTGCAACTGTTTTAATATTTTCTGCTGAACGACATCTGCGGTTTTTTGTTTTTTTCAGCATGTTTTTTAAGCGATCGTAATTTCTTTCCACCACATTTTTCCTATGCCAGACTGCTTATTAACATTTTGCGGTCCATGGACGGCATGATCGCACTCGTTTCTACGTTGTAGTCCTTCGACGGCACTGTGCCGTCGTGATCTGACAACATTGGTTTTATTGATAAATCTAAACATATGCGGTTTTAAGCAACTGGCAACATGCGAAATAGATAAATAGTGATTCGTAGCTATGTCAAAACAACTGACGATCGCTCCAAGTGTTAGGATTGTTCTTTCGGAGCTAATCATTCGAACCTAGTCGATCGACAGATCTTATCAGTGTAAAAGCTATCGTAAGCTGGAGAAAAGCAAAAAAAGGTTATTTAACACAAATTTTTCTTCAAGGTATAGAAATTCAAGTTGTAGAAAGTAAATACGCCTCTTATAATCAGTTGGTTTATTATTTATCAGTCGTACACGTGTTTTTTAATTGTATTTGTTTATTTATCTACTGGTTGGTTTTGTATCATGTCGTATCTTATATTATTTTGTTTCATATTACATGTTCATAGATACTGTTTTACCGATATTTCCTCTTATGTGTCGTGAGAAAAATCTTGTTAGAATCATCGGATGAAGAAAATATGAATTTAAATTCGCAGAGAAAAAATAATATTTGCAAATACATATAATGTTTTTTTATTCTTTTATTAATTCTCTTGATATAATTTATGCGCTTAAAAAATCGATTATATCTATCTATGTTTGACTTTTGTCCAGCTCAAAATACACCATGATTTTGATGGTTTCAAAAAGTGAAGCTCTTTCAGAAAAGTTAACTTTTATGATGTTTAATAATAGAGAAAAAAAATGAACTTCACGATAAAAGTTTTTTGAATACGCTAGGTGCAATATTTTTTAGATATCAACATTTGTATAGTAAGTAAATCAACCAAATAAGCGCGGCTACTTTCGTATTATGCCTTCGAGAAGTTCAAACACATTAGTCAAGCGTCTTCGGGTGGGCCGCGGACCGCAAAATATTAAACATGGAGCAGTGTAAATTGCGAAGTGTCGTTCAATAGAAAATCTTACAACAGTTGTAAAGCGCAAAAGAAAGCCTTTATTAGCTGCTTTCTCTGCTAAACGCAACCATTACAACGCACGACGTCCTTTTAAGTAAGTGTAGCAATAGATGTGATAGTTAAATAATTATTTATAAAGAATTTAAGGAGAAAATCGAAATATATACGGAAGCTGTGATCCGGTCGAAAAAAAATACTATTTATAAAATGTGAATGCTCTATAATACAAAAAGGTTAATATAAAACGGTGACGATAATTATTAAAAAATATTAATATCCATGATGAAGGACATTATTTATGCCGAGAATCGCGAGGAAACTCACAGCTCTGAGGACGTATGTCTCAAATATTTCTGAAACAGAAACGCCGCAAGAGAGTTTATTTTTTCTCTCTCTCTTCCTCTCTTTTGCTGCTGTTCCAAAGTCTAGGACAGAGGTCTCGGTCTAAGCTAAAACGAAATGGATTATGATGTAGACCGGTATTATTATAACTTGGAGCTGTGGCAATCTGCGTTTATACGATAACACAATTCAGGTTTTATTATGACCGCAAAAAGGACTTATATAAAAGAACCAGCAGCAGGTACGCAAACGACTTCGAAGAATTTTTTAGAAGCATAAATGCGGCATTTGAATAGATCGACAGTAATTTCTTAGATAATTGTGACCTCAATCAAAACTGTTTTCATATACAGTCAACAAGAAATAATGTAATTGCGGAACTAATGAATATAAATGATCATCCACTATATATACTTTTGCCATTTATGTACGCGACATTAGTACAGAAGAAGAAGCCAGACAGAACACTTTATGCTGAACAATATACGAAGTCTAGTGTGTAACGATGGACACGGAATTAACGGCGACATTGTACCTACCGAACATTAGTTATTCTTTACTGGCTATAATCATTGCCATGCTTATCACACTACATTATTACATTGAGACTAGGCATGTGATACGACTTTCATTGAAGTTACCACGTAAGTAAAGAGTTCAACGATTCAAAGAGACAAAAACTTCTATTGCAATATTTTCCATTTCACGTTTGATTCATAATCGAGCGTTGTAATTAAATACATTAAAACTACTGTATATTTCTTTCTAGATCCACCACGCATACCTATTATTGGTCACCTCCTGATAACATTAAAAATAAATTCCGAAGATGCACTAATCTGTTTTGTTAAACTTTGCGCTAAATATGGCTCAGTGTTATCATTATTTTATGGAACACGAGCCTTTATCTTCTTAACAGATCCGCAAGATATAGAGGTTATTTTAAATAACCCAGAACACATCGACAAGCCCGCAGAATACGGATAAATAAATCCAGTTAAATCAATTTCCAGGCGGATTATTGTCCAGATAATCCCGGTAACGTTAAGATTTAATCGAGATAATGTTCGAATAATGATCGAAAAGTGAGTTTTTATTGTCATTTTCTCGTGATTTTCTTGTCACCTGGATATCATTACTCTTTTATATTCGGTCTCAGTTGGATCCTTAATCAGAGTGAACCTATTTAGTTTTGCGTTTCTTCACACTCAAAAGCGCCTGCTGCGCTTGATGCGCCAATGAATTTCAATTCTACCTACATACAAAATTATCCACAACGCTATAGATGCTTTAAACCATGGCTCGGAGATAGCATACTGTTCAATAACGGTGCCAAGTGGCTAAAAGAAAGACAAACGATTTTAGCCACATTTCGCATGCAGATCTTGAGGAAATGCGTGCCGTTATTTTATGAGAACAGCCAAGATCTGGTAAGACGACTTGCGCAAAATATCAACGAGCGATTTAATTGCCATGAACATTTATCAGTCGCAACTTTTAATATGTTGGTGGAAGCGGAAATGGGGATAAGTAGAAAAAAGATTGAAGACATCAGTTTTAATTATACGACGGCCGTGATAAAGTAAGGGGTTTTACTTCGTACCTACTACACGTTGTTACTTTGAACCTTCGCATATAACGTTTTATTGTCCCGTTTTTTAAACGTCGCAGACTGAGCGAGATTGTGCATAAACGACAGATCGACATGTCATTACAATCAGATCTGTTGTTCCGTTTTTCGAAATTCGCCAAGCTGCAGCAAGAGCTGCTCCACACCGTCCACTCAGCGGCGAGGTTAGTGATCCAAGAGAAATGGAAGGACATCGAAGAAAAGCAGTTTAAAAATAAACATCAAATCGAAGCTGAAAATTTAACCGAGAACGCAGAAAACGGTATCAACACGATCAATTACAAGATGCATTATGCGAGAGATGATCTGGACGATATCGAGAATGTTGATATGAGCGAGAAAAAGCAACTGCATTTCTTAGAGATGTTGATGGACATGAGAAAGAACGGAGAAATGACCGACAAGGAGATTTTGAATTTTGTCAACTCGATCTTGTTCGCGGTATAATATCAATTTCGCAGCAATTAATTACTAAGATTCTTTAATAATTCATTGAAATCAAATTCAGTATTTTGCAAAAACAATATTACGCACACGTCTTAATTCGAAAACTACTTGTAGAATATATATCGAGCCAAAATGTTACAGGCCCACGAGACAATAGCAGCTGCTTCGAGTTTCGTGCTTTGTACATTGGGATGTCTTCCGGAAATCCAGGTAAATCTATTTGCGATATCCTTAAATTGAAAAATTTAGTTAATATTAATTAATATTAATGTTTAGTTAATATTAATGTTTTAAACATTATTAAAAATATTTAAAAGAGAGACAATATAAATTGTAGTATATTTTTATTTAAATACACATTTCATATATGAAATATGACAAACTGTGGACTGAAATTATGAACCGAAAATAAAAAGGTAACAGCTATAGAAGAGGAAGGCATGCTCATCTTATTACTCATAACATGTCAACATGTTACATACGTCATTAGATTCCGATAAGTTCGACTCGAAACGAAAATATTCACTCCAAGATGGAGAGGGAGTGTGAGAAAAAGAGAGAAAAATGTACAGTGAAAGAATTCACTATGTGTACGTTAAAGTGGAAAATCAATGAAACTCGAAAGATTGTGATATTCATACATTTCTTAAGTAAAACTTCAATTCATAGGACATATAGTGATATTCATTACACATCATAAAAGAAAAAAATTTACTCCATAATAGTTACTTCAAATCGAGTTGGCTGTCATTCCATTTTTCGACTTGAGATTTCATTGCATAAAACTCGGAAAGTCTTTGAAGTCGTAATGAAACGATGTCAATGTTAACATTAATTTTTGTTGTGCAGGCACGTGTGCACGATGAATTGGACTCAATATTTTATGACAGCGACAGGGAGTGTACTTTCCAAGACACGATAAATATGAAGTATCTGGATAGAGTTATTTTGGAAACATTGAGGCTCTTTCCTGTAGTACCACTATTCGGTAGGAAGCTTAATAAGGACGCAAGAATAGGTAATCCGATCCAAATATATTTAATCGTGTCACCCGTCGACTCACATATATTTTAAATACACGTATTATAAATTTATTCAAGATAAAAAACGAATCAACTTTATATTAAAGTTACAGGCAATTACGTTCTACCAAAAGATGCTATTATTTTAATATTTCCAGTCGTGTCACATCGCACAGAAAAATATTATCCAAATCCATTAGTTTTTAATCCGGACAATTTCCTGCCGGATAACATGCGGCAGAGAAATAGCTACGCTTACATTCCCTTCAGCGCTGGTCCGAGGTAAAAACAAACGTGTATATACTGAAATATCTTGGGACTTATTATTGGCGTTGCACGAATAGTATTAAATGTTTTCTGTCTTATCTGTTAAAGTTTCACCCGTTTTCCGTAGGTCGTGCTTGGGACGAAAATATTCTATGTTGACATTGAAGGTTTTATTATCGACACTATTGAGGAATTATCGCATTACTTCTGATGTGTCATATC